GCAACTCGCCCCCTCATTCTGGCTAGGCCAGGCGGGTGGGTGGGTGGGGCAGGCCGAGGCTGGATAGGGAGGGGAAGGAACCTTCCAGAGGCATCACAGGAGTCAAGGCTGGGAGGCCCCTCCAGGACCCACAGCCAGATTCGTTTACAGGTAAAAAACAGAGGCCTCAAGAGAGGAGTGACTGACCAAACGCCCCAAATGGCGCCAGGACAAGCACTGACACCAGAAGACAGGTCCTCGGCTCGGTTCCCAAGCATTTTTTCCTAGACAGCAGAGGCCTGAGCAAGAACAAAGGAAACTGGCACCCTGCCCTCTGACCCTCCCAATCTTCCCAAACTGAGGTCATGAACTAAGGAGTGGTTCAAATACGGTGAGGCAGGAAGGTGCTCCATCCTGAGCACTAGGCTGGCTTCTGCCAGGGACCAGGGTGAGAAGGAGGGTACCGCTCCCAGAGCCATGCTTGCAGCCTGACCACTCCCCCAGCTTGGCCAGCCCCAGGGGTGATGGGAAGCACATGCATCAGAGCCAGTTATAACCACAACCACAGCAGCAGCGGCGGCGGACATTTATTGGGTGGACATTGCAGGCCAGTTCTGTTTTACATGCATTTAAATCATCACAACAGCCTCTTAACCCACTCTCTTCACCCTTCAGTGTCTGTATGACCCTGGGTGGGTGGCTGAGCTGATGCCTCCCTGGGTGACCATGGAGTGAGTATGTGCACGTGTGAAAGTGATGGGGCATATTCGCCTGTGAGTCCAGTACCCAGCACAGCCCGTGGCACATAGTACATCGTATTAAATCTTTGAGGAATAAGTCTGCCCATACATGAATATGACATTGAGGTTTCTATTGAATCCTAGAACGAGACTATTTGCATGCGAAGCTTGTGGCATCACATCTATGTGCCTGGAACTGTGGATGACTCTGTCTCCATCTGACTGAACATGTGTCTGTGTGTGCCCTCTCCCTGTCACCCTGTGCCAGCCCTGTGGCTTTGTGTCCAGGTGTGTGAGCGACGGTGAAAGCTGCCTGCTAGCTCCCTGGATGGTGGCCAGTTCTCTAACCCCACTGAGAGGCAGAGGAGAGGGGCTCTGTTTCTAGTGGGATAGAACAATGACTCTGTGGGGGTGGGGCTCCTAAATGGCCTAAACTAGACTGGTCTCTGTACCCGTTATCTCTGTCTCCCAGGAGACCAGTCCTGCACAGCCTCAGGGAAGGTGCTCATCTGCTGGTTCTGGGCTCCAGACTGGGGGTGGGGGCGGGGGCCAGAGAAGCAGGGGTGGAAAGGAGGGGCTGGTGATGGTGGCAGGGTGGGGGAAGGCACCCTTCCCTGAATTTGCATCTTCAGTACCCAAACCCTGGATGATTTCCCAGTAAAATGAAGGGGGAGGGCTGGGAGGCGACCGGCTGGAGGAGAGGACATGAGCCACCAGCCCCTCTCCGCTGCCCAGCAGTACTGAGCAGTCAGGCTGTTCCTGGGTTGGGGCTCTAGGTGAGAGAGGTGCCACTTCTTTGGGATTCTCAGGGCCTTTGCTGAGGATGGAGATCTGGGCAGGAGCTTAGGAGTGGGTTTGAGGCTTCCTTGCAGGATCTATGTGTCCCCACATGGGATGTGGGTCTGGGTGGGATCTGAGGGCCTCATGGAGGGGACTCAGGCTCAAAGGATTATCTGTGGGATCTTATGGGTCTGTATGGGATGTGGGTTTCGGTGAAATCAGAGGGCAGGAGACGGTGGCTAGGGGTGGGGTGAGGGCCTGAGGATTTCCCTGTGGGGCCCAGAAGTCCCAGTGTGAGATGGAGAACTGAATGAGGCCAGGGTGGGGGTGTCTGAGGGTGATAAGATCTCTGCGAGATTTTGAGGGCTCTGTGAGGTGTCGACTGGGGTTGCTGTTTTTTGTCTACATAACTCCCGTTCCATGCCCCAAGGCCAGCCTGTGGATGTGGAGGGGGTAGGGGTGACTGTACTGAGCTGGCAAACAAAGCCACCTGGGCACCCATCCTTCAGGAAGCTCTGGGCGCAACTGATCTGGGAAAACAAACAGGAACAGCTGTTAGGGGTGGGGGGGCACGGCAGCTGGGGAGAGGGGCAGAGCTGGACCAGCCTGGTGGGGAAAGGAGGAGACGGGGAGGGGGTCCGTGGTACCCAAGGGGTATCGATCCCAGAGTCCTCCGCTGGCACAGTAGGCAGGGCTGCCTGGAAGCCCCTTCCCCTCAGTGGTTGTTCTCTTTGGCGATGACTGTGAGGCCCAAAGTCAGGAGGGGCCTGAGGGTGTTGGGGAACCCTGAGATGTTTAGAGGTCTTCTGGGCCAGTGACTATGGGTGGTGTTGGTAGGCATACCCGTTTCTGAGAGAGCTGGTCGGGGTTACTAGAACTAAAAGCCATGGGTGAAGGGGTGAGAAGGTGGGGGTACCTCCATACCATTTCCGAGAGGAGGGAAGAGGTAGAAAAGGGAAAAGGCAGCCAGCCGCCAAGACCAGAGCTTCACACTGGAGGAGGAGGAGGAGGGGGTCCTTCTCACACACGGGGTCCCCTCCCCAACTCCAAGCGGGACTCTTAATTCTAACCTGGATCTCGGCTGGACGATCTCCCCACTTTTCCTCCTCCCCTAACCCTGGAAAAGGCGCGACGCACCCCTCCTGCAGAATGCCGCCGTCGGACCCACACGTGGAGCTCGCCCCTCAGGAGTACGCCCAGCCCCTAGCCCCGGTCGGTGCACAGTGTCCAGTCTCCGACAGACACCCCCACACCCTCTGACCAATACTTGACGCCCGCGTCAGGGACAGCGCAGACGCACAGCCTGACGCACTAGCCACCCGCGCCCGCGGTCCCTGCCGACCTGGACCTTCCCTTCCACCCCGCCCTCCGCGCCAGCTTTCGGGCCAGCGCGGCCTGCTCGCGCCCTCTGGTGGCCGAATACAGAATTGTCGGATAGAGGTGGGGGAAGGAGGGAAGGAGAGATCTGATTCTTCACCCCTCCCCGCTTCCCCGGCTGGTGACACTGAAGGCAAAGACTGGGACACCAAGGGTCCAGAACTAGCTCGTGCGCACTCTGTAGTTTGTATTCCCTCCTTGCGGTTTGTATTTGTTCAAATCCCAGCTAGGGTAGGGAATCAGGACACGGTTCTGACCTCACCCCCAATCAAACCTGCCTGAGATTGTCCCATCTCTGACCCATATCCTCCTCACTCGGACTCTACCTCCATGCCCAGTTCTAGGGCCCTGCACTCTTGGCACCCATCTTCACACACACTGCGAGCTCCAACAGTAACTCCTCCAGGGAAAATAGAGGCCCAAGGGAGCCTTTGGCCCCAGGGCCCTCTCTCAGCAACCCAGAACTTCAAGGGTGGGAGAGCAAGCCACCACCACCCCACTTCCACTGAAGAATTTTCTCTACCCCCTTTTTCCGTGGACATTTTGCCCACACCTGACCACCTTGTTCGCTCACTCGTTCAAGAAGTTTTATTGAGTGCCTACTATGCATCCAGCACTGTGCTAAGTTTGAGGATAACAACTGAGAACAAAACACAGTCCCTGCCCCTTTAAATGGAGCTTACACTCTGGTAAGGCAGATGCTGGTACACCCATAAACATAAGATGAAAACGATTACTTTACAGCACAATAAATGCTACAAAGAAAAAAGGCTGATGTGATGGACGGAAGGGTGCCTGGAACAGCATCACCAAGGAGGTGACACAGGAGCCAGCTATGCCACCATCTTGTGACCAAGACACTCCAGGTAGCAAACAGCAAATGCAAAGGCTCTGAGATGGGCTGAGCATGGAACACTGGGAAGAAGGCTTAGAAGGCAGGCTGGTATGGCAAGGCTTCTGGGAGCTGGGGTGGCTACAGCTGGCCTGTGAGCACTTTTTGGCACAGGAGCTCCGATGGACAGTGGTGGAGCACAGGTTTTGGCTTCCAAAGGTCCGAGCTCGATTCTTGCTCTGAAACTGGCTAGCCATATGAGTTTGGACAAGGCCCTGCACCTCTTTGACCCTCCGTTTTCATATCAGTGCAGGTAAACCTAACTCACTGGACTGTCCTGAGGACCCATAAGGGAAGCATGTGACTCGTGGGAGCAACAAAATATTAGCTCCCTTCTCACTAGCCCCTCTTACCTCTGCTGGAATATGCCCACCCACACCCACCACCATTAAGGAAAACTCACAATTTTGCAAGAAGCCTTTGTGTCTCATTAACAGCTGCTGTGGTTAGAAAATTCCACTGCAAGTGGTGAGAAAATTTCCTACCTGGAGCTACCCCTTGGGGCTCCTAACCTTTTTGGGGCTCCCAATCTTTTCCTCTTCCTCCTCTCCCTCCCCCTTTCTCTACACCCACGCCCCCCCCCCCCAACCGCTGCCTTTCCCCAGCTCACTCTGTCGCCCAGGCTGGAGTGCAATGGCTTGATTTCGCCTCACTCGGTGCAACCTCCACCTCCTGGGCTCAAGCAATTCTCCCATCTCAGGCTCCCAAGTAGCTGGGACTACAGGCGCATGCCAACAAGACCGGCTAATTTTTGTTTGTTTTTGTAGAGACGGGGTTTCACTGTGTTGCCCAGGCTGGTCTCAAATTCCTGGGTTCAAGAGATCCTCCCACCTGGGTCTTCCAAAGTGCTGGGATCACAGGCGTGAGCCACTGCGCCGGCCCTGCAAGATTTCTTAGCTGTGACCTCTCCACCACATTCCAAAGCCCTCTGGGCCTCCACTTCTACATCTGGGAAATGCAGGACAACAACAGCATCTTCCTCACAGGTCAGTTTTAGAATTGATGGAGTTCACGCACCCGAAAGCCTGAACAGAGAGCTCCGCCTGAACTAAGCGCTTCATCCCCAGCTGCTAACATCAGGCAGACGTTGGGGGCCGGAATCCTTAGAGCCTGGAACTTTGTGGGAGACCCGAAGCGGCACGGGTTGGGCCGAGCTGAGGCCCAACATTCTTCCTGCCTCCCGCGGCAAGCCACTCCCTCGGTGGCTATTATGCCTAAACTCTGAGTAAACCGTGCGGCCCTCGGGCGGTCGTTTCCAGCGCCCGGCGCCGCCGCGTGGCGGGTCCTGATCACCTCCTCCTCTCCTTCCCGGACCCGAGGACACCCCGAGGACGCGGCGCAGGATCTGGGAACGCACACTTGGGAGGAAAGGGGCCGCGGTGGACCGATCCTCCAGGAAAAAGAGGACTGAGCACATGAAGCGAATCCTTTGGGCAGAGCCTTCTCTACCTCCGCCCTAGCATCGCCCAAAAGAGAGGCCTGGACTAGGGCCGAGGAAGGCTGGCGATTAGACTCTGGGAAGAACTTCCGCTCCGCGAGTCAGCAGCGCGGTCTTAGCCCGAGGCCCCGGGGAGGTCAGGTCCCTTCGTCCCGAGGGCTGGGCCAGGGAGGGCGAGTTCTGCCCCGAGGCCTGGCACGCCCTGCCTGGCTCAGGCTGGAAAGAAAGAAAGCGCGGAGTCAGCCTGGGCTGCGGCGGGCGCGGGGTGCGCGCCTCAGCACTTTCTGTTGTCTTCCCCGGGGGCTGGGGCCACAGCGGCGGCTGCGGGAGAGGCCTCGGCTCCCCAGCGGAGACCAGAGCCGACCGCAGCCTGCCTGCTGACTCAGCTCCCCCACCCGCGAAGGAAAGGGTACGGGCAGGGGGACAAGGCCGGGGTATAAAGTCCGGCCCGCCTCGCCGCGCGCAGCCTCGCAGCCCGTCCATTTCTCTCGCGTGCGGCGCTCACCCACCCGGTGAATGCCCGCTGCTGGGGTGGGAGAGGGCGGGGAGAGCGGGAAGAGGGCGAGCCCCTGGCAGCTGGGTCCAGAAGCTAAGGCCTGGTCCAGCCCCCGGGTTCTTTACCTCCTAACCAGACTGGGCAGGCTGTGGCTCAAAACGGGGCTCATGAGACGCTGAGCGCGTGGTTCCACCCTTCCTGTCCGCAGCGGCATGAGCAGCGCCCCCGCACCGGGCCCAGCGCCCGCCAGCCTCACGCTCTGGGACGAGGAGGACTTCCAGGGCCGTCGCTGTCGGCTGCTGAGCGACTGTGCGAACGTCTGCGAGGGCGGAGGCCTGCGCAGGGTGCGCTCGGTCAAGGTGGAAAACGGCGTGTGAGTGATTGCCTGGCCGCGGCTGGGCTAGGTTGAGGGGCACTGGGCTCCACTGGCGCAGGCTCAGAGCCTCAGCACCCTGTCCCGTGAACCCTGGAGAGACCTGCCAACTTGGGAAACCCCATAGCCTCCCCAAAATTCCCCACCCATCCCAAGATAAATCATGGGAAAGTGTGTATTTTTCTGCTAAAGAGACACAGGCGAGAAGTACCCCACCGTGAAGGAGTTTCTAATGTACTTACATCCTTCCCAGAGTTTTTCTCTGTGCAAAAGTAGAAGGCTCTGCGCTTGGCTTAACAAAAGAAACCTAATCCTTTTCCCTGGCCCCACCCTGGTCTTAGAGTCCAGCTTTTCCCACCCTCCCGCCCCCTACCCCTGCCCCAACTGAGGTCCCAGTTCCTGCTATGATAATCGGGAGGGGTCCTCCAATGTGTCCCTGTGCAAAGGCCTAAACCTTTGGGGCAGGAGCACTTGGTCGGGAGATCTTCATAACCAGGAAAACTCCTTCCCAAACTGGGGTCCTTGAGCGGGAAGCCTGGGCTCCTCAAACCCCAGAGAGCAGCAGGTTTGGGACCTTTAGTCTCGAAAGGGGCTGGATTGCCATACAATGGGTGTGTCAGGGGAAGGGTTTGGGGTTGGAGAAAAATACTGTGCTTCTCAGTCTTTTCAATCATGGCAAGCAAGGGGGAGGCAGTGGGGGTGCGGCTCAGGCAGATACCTCCCAGCTCTTCTCCTTTAACAGTTGGGTGGCCTTTGAGTACCCTGACTTCCAGGGACAGCAGTTCATTCTGGAGAAGGGAGACTATCCTCGCTGGAGCGCCTGGAGTGGCAGCAGCAGCCACAACAGCAACCAGCTGCTGTCCTTCAGGCCAGTGCTCTGCGCGGTGAGCACAGCCCACTTCTCCTCCTCTGCCTCCTAACTCCAGGCCCTGGCCTCACCATGGCGCCTGGAAAGGCTGTTCAAGCCCTGCCGGGGGAATATGTAAACAAACTCCGAGATGGGTGGTAGTAGCATTATTTCTCAGAATCAGAAGGGTGTCCCCAAGAAAGTTGGGATTGTGGGCGTAGGCCTGGAATCCAGAAATCATCACCATGGACAGCACTGAGGCCGTCCCATTCCTGAGCGCCTAGCGTTCCCTCACATCCAATAGTCCACATGTGTGAGTGAGTGCCTCTGGCGTCACACAGCCCTGTGAGGTCAGGGTGGCCGCTGTTAGCCCCATACACAGGTGTGGAAATGGGGCTCAAAGGGACAAAGTGGCTTGCCCAGGGTCACTGAAAAGAGTCAGTCTCAGTGTGTGTTTGTGTATGTGTTATTGTATGTGTGAGGGTGTTGGTAATGAATCAAATACACCGGAAGAGAGGATCTCATTTTCCATTTGTGCTGACCTGGTTACTAGTAGGGCTGGGGAGTGGAGAGCAGAGGACCCAGCCCAGGCCAGCCCACTTCCTCTGTTCCAAGAGGCTGAAGAACCCTGCAGTGGGAAGGCCAGAGCCAAGATGCAATCAGTATTGATGCCCTGACATATCTGTTCTGATTCTGCCATCCAGTACCCCTTAGCTGGGCACTAATCTGTGAGAGGCTGGCTGTGCTGAGGGGCTGGGCAGGGGATTGCACAGTTAGTCAATGAAGCCCTCAGGGAACTGTCTTGGTGAACGGGACAGATTTCTTTAAGGACCTCTGGCTTTGCTCCTGCAAAACAGGCCCATGTCACAAGGTGCTCTCTAGTCCTGACCTGAAAGGGTCTCTGGAAACCCTATCTCCCCAGTCACCTCCTTAGCCCAAAGCCATGGGAGAGGCCAGGTTTGGGGGAGCCTCTGAGCGATCCATTTCCCAGCCTGCCAGGGAGCTGATGGGTTGAGCTCTGGGAGTGCCTGTGGGTCCTAGACAGCTGCACAGCTTGTGTGGGGCAATGGGTGGGGGAAGTGAGGTTGAGGATGTATCTGTTAACAACCCTTTGGAAGCCCTGACCTTTCTGTCCCAACCTTCCTGTGCCTCAGAACCACAGTGACAGCCGTGTGACACTGTTTGAGGGGGACAACTTCCAAGGTTGCAAGTTTGACCTCATTGATGACTACCCATCCCTGCCCTCCATGGGCTGGGCCAGCAAGGATGTGGGTTCCCTCAAAGTCAGCTCTGGAGCGTGAGTCCTGGAAGCAGAACTAGGCAGAGAGAAGAGCAGGAAAGCAATGGGGACCAAGGGAGAGGGTGGAGAAAAGCGATGTGGGGAGGGTGCTAAGAGAGATATTGGGGACTTGGAGGCAAGGATGGAGACAGACTGGGAGGGAGGAAATGAGGAGGTCCTAGGAGAATGGGGGGCAGAGGAAAATATAGGCACAGAAGAAGGGCTGGAGAACATGAGGGGATGGAGGCAATGGAGGGTCGGTACAGGAGACAGGATGAGAACCGTGATAGGAAGACTGGGAGCAGTAGCCAGGGGAGGGAGAGAGCCACGTAGGGAAAGTTGAAGCAATGATTTTGGAGCTGGGGGTTGGGAGCTACAAAAAGGGGGGCTGCTAGTGGAGAACATAGAGTAGGGGTGGGGGCAGAGCTTACTCCCTGCCCCTGTGCCCTCACTGGCCTAGGTGGGTGGCCTACCAGTACCCAGGCTACCGAGGCTACCAATATGTGTTGGAGCGAGACCGGCACAGCGGAGAGTTCCGTACCTACAGTGAGTTCGGCACACAGGCCCACACTGGGCAGCTTCAGTCCATCCGGAGAGTCCAGCACTAGGATCCATGGCCCCAGACACCTTCCCTGAAGACCCTCAATAAAGGTTCCTGAATCTTCCTGCCCCTCTTGCCTCCTTGGTGTCTTGCTTTGTGATGTCCATCCTTATCTTTGCGAGAGTCCCTCCCTGCCAAGCTGATCCTCCCCACAGGCTCCAGAATCCTTGGCTACCAAGCGTAAGATGGCTGAGGTTGTGTGTGGATAGGCTGTGGTGGGGCTGACAGCAAAGTGCTGGTAAAAATCTTAGACATTCTGGCTGGGTGCAGTGGCTCATTCCTGTAATCCCAGCACTTTGGGAGGCCAAGGCAGGTGGATCACAAAGTCAAGAGATTGAGACCATCCTGGTCAACATGGTGAAACCCCATCTCTACTGAAAATACAAAAATTAGCTGGGTGTGGTGGTTCGTGCCTGTAATCCCAGCTACTCGGGAGGCTGAGGCAGGAGAATCGCTTGAACCTGGGAGGCGGAGGCTGGAGACGGTGCCACTGCACTCCAGCCTGGCGACAGAGCAAGACTCCGTCAAAAACAAACAAACAAACAAACAAACAAAAAAAGCCCAAAAAAACACCTTAGCAATTCTGTTAAATGGCACCCGTCCCAAACCTCTGCTTGGTAAGGTTCACCACTACGGGCCAGGGGTACTGCTAGCTCAGATGGCACCTTTGCCATCCTGTGGGTGGGGTGGACACACCCCCACAGCAGGGCTCATAGCTGGATTGCAGCTCCCACACATCCCCTGGCCCAGGTACCATCATGCAGGGCAGAACTTCCTTACTGTACACTGAAGGTCTGAGCTTCCTCTGTAATCCCAGAGCATTTTCAACCTTTATCTTCACCCAGTTCCCTACCCAGTCAGGGAAGCCTGAGCCTCCTGCAGTTGTCCCCTTTGCTCCATTCGCAGGAGGGAAATTAGTGGGAAATCCCACTGCTTCCCAAGGCCTTCGAAGGGGAGACTTTCACCCTGTGAGCCCAGCCCCCAGACCCTTTGAGCAATGACAATCCCTTGCAGTGGTGTTGAACTCCAGCATTTAGAAAGCATCTTCATACCTCCCCCCGTCAGCTGCTCCATACCACTCGCTCTTCACTCTTCCTTTCCCTCCCTACCCATCAGAAGACTGGTGAGCTGTAGCAGCCACCCCTCAGTTGCTCAGAGGAGGCCTGTGTTCTGGGCAAGTGGCAGGTGCCCACAGGCATGGCAGGGCTGAGTATGGCTGCAGCCATTAGAGCCCCTGGCACTAGTATGGGTTTTTCCCAGTTCCCTCTTCAATCCAGTTGGTGATGCCCCCTGACCCCTACACAGACAGAGCTTCTCAAGAGTCTTGGGGCTCCCCTCATCCTGTCCTTCAGGGATTCTTGGGTTTTCAAGTCCCCAGTGGACCCATCAGTGGCGAAGCGTGGCTCTGATTATTGCCCCAGGTCAGGCAGGGCAGGGCAATGCCAGGGAGCAGTCAGACTTGGACCTGAAGTCCCCAGAGGTTCAGCTGTGCAAAGTCAGGCAGCTGCTCCTTTGAGAAGTGCTCTGGACCATAAGTCAGAACACCTGGGACCCAATTCCCTCACCTTGTAATCTGGGGCTATTGACTGCTGTCCTGCACAGGGCCTGTTAGGAGGATTCCATGAGAAACCCCTTTTCCGTAACACCACAAGCATTTGCTTGTGGTGTTATGGAAAAGCACTGGGGTAGTCAATGTAGGGACATTGGATCCTAGGGTTGGGTCAGGGGACCAAGGGAACGAGCTCTGGGTGGGGTATAAATTTTGCTTTACACTCGAATGGGCTCTAGAGTCCATGGCCCTTGTTGCATTCAATCCTCCTAATACTCTCCAATTTCATCTACTTTACCAGACTGAGAGTCCAAGGAGAAGCTTTGATGACATCACCCACTTAATTGGTGACAAACCCAGGATTTGAACACAGAGTTCCTGGCCCTAAATCCAGGCTGTTAGGTGGAGGCTGAACTGAGCTGTGGCTAAAAGCCTCAGGCCTCAGCAGAGCCCCAAACTTTTATGGGCCCCAGAGGAACCTGTGATTCCTGGCTGGTCACGGGCTCCTCCCCATCCCCTTGTGGAATGGCAATATTTACAATAGCTACATGTATAGAATCTGTTCTAAACCCTTCACATGTGTTATCTCATATAAACCTCATCATTCTGTATGGCAGGTACTATCATACCCATTTTATTTTTATTTACTTTTATTTTTATTTTGAGACAGGGTTTTACTCTGTTGCCCAAGCTGGAGTGCAGTGGCATGAGCTCAGCTCATTGCAACCTCTGCCTCCTGGGTTCAAGCAATTCTTCCACCTCAGCCTCTGAGTAGCTGGGATTACAGGCACCCGCCATCATGCCAGGCTAATTTTGGTATTTTTGTAGATACAGGGTTTCACTATGTTAGCCAGGCTGGTCTTGAACTCCTGACCTCAGGTGATCTGCCCGCCTTGGCCTCCCAAAGTGCTGGGATTACAGGCATGAGCCACTGCGCTGGCCCATACCCATTTTATAAATGAGGAAACGCAAGTACAGTACAGAGGTTATGTTACTTCCCCCAAAGTCACATAACCAAAAAGTGGGAGAGTCAGGAGTTGAAACTAGAACCCAGACAAACTGGCTTCAGAGCCCAGCAGGCCACTTCCCCACTGCTTGCTTTGGGGAGCAGACAATGAGCAAAGGGAGATATGGAATCCGCCCTTGACTGAGCTGCCCTCCCTGCAGGGGGATCTGTGGTTGCTCGGAAGAATCAGCAAGACGGCTTCAGGAACTAGAAGTGTGACTCTGAACTGGGCTCGGGTCTCTGGGTCTCGTTTCCCCATCTGTGCAACACAGAAGTCAGGGGAGTTAATATTTGCTGCAGCCTTTGCCAGCATGGACCTTCTAGGTTTTTCTGGACCTAGGGGTCATGTTTTGCTTCCTACATCTGTCTACAGCTAAGGAGTGGGGGTCACAGAGGCTAGTCTAAACTTGAATGCTTTCACCTTCTGGTCCTCCGTTCGTTCTGGGCAGGCTGACCATCTGCAGAACCACATGGGACCAGCGCCCAGCAGGGTAGGAAAGGGATGAAGGGGAAACTGCCAAGGACTCTCCTGTAGGCTTCCCTAGCTATACTTGCAGCAGAAGGGGATGGTGAAGATCAAGACCCAGGTGGGTGGAGATGACTGCCCCCCATGCACACATTACCTGGTGCCCCACCCGCTCAGCAACTGATTTCTTGGTAAGACTGAGGCATAAAGCCTGTACTGTCGATCCCTGCCCAGCTCAGAGCTGGGATATTTGGGTAGACCTCCTCTCTAGGACCCTCTCCTTTACACCTCAGCCTCCCACTGAGAGCATTAAGTGGGCGAATTTTGATGCCTCCCAGCTCTCCCAGCTCTTACCTCCTGCCCCTTGCTATTTTCTGTTCTTACCTCCTGCTCCTTGTTTTCTGTCCATAGTGGGTGGGGGAAACAGTAAGAGGAATGAGACGGTAGAGGGATTGGGATCTTGACCCCACCTTCAAGACCCTTCCCTTCTGCGGAGTCTGAGTTTGGTCCACAGGGAACATTCCAACCTCTAGTCTTTGCTCCCACCGGATTCCAGGTCCACATCCCAAAGGCTTCATCCTTGTCCCACTAGGATCCTCCCAGGACCTGGGATCCCTCATTTTTCCCTCCACATTCTGCCTCCCACACTTCTCCCTGGCTCCTTTGCACCCTCTACAAGCAAAGATGAATACCCCAGCAGTTGCAGCAAATGAGGATGAACAGGGGCCCTGTAGAACCCCAGAAGTAGGACTTTCTAGCCATCCTCAATCAGGCACCCCAGGACCAGGCACTTAGCAGGAGATTTATCAATTCCCAGGCCTCCTCCACCCCTGGGCTCAAGCAGTGAGAGAAGACTTGGAGAATACCAGTTTTGACAGTACCCATTCCATACTGCAAGGCTGTAGAAGGTGGGCTTCTGGGCTGGAGCCTCATCTTCAGTCAGCATCCTCCTTAGCCTGCCTCTCCAGAGCCAAGAAGTCCCACCGGTACCCAGAGAGGCTCTAGGACACTTGGGAACCACATCAATATCTTTGCATGAGTTAGAAATAGGAACACTTTTCTTGGAGTGGATTTCAGCCTTGCACAGTGCACAACCCTGTCTTAACCCCTCCACCTCTCCAGCCTGGTTCAGGGACAGCCAGAATGGGAATAGTGGTGAGGGTGGATGGCAGACTGGGAGGACAGGGGATGGGGAACGATGGGAGAGGAATAGTTGTACAGGGAAGTAGCAGGGGGCTCAGAAACCCATCAGGGAAAGCCAGGACAGATTCTCAACATCTTTAGAGGCCTTCAGCAGTCCAGGCCACTACTAATTTGTGGGGACTGAACGAATGAGAAAAGGAAGGGAGGGAGAAGGATGAGAGGGAGAGAGAAGGCTGGAGGGGAGATGGGAGTCAGAGAGAAAAGCCTAGGATAGATGGTAAAGAGAGACCTAGAAGGGGGGGAGAGGACAGAGGAGGGGGTCACCCACTATAAGTTGCCAGGAGAGATGGCCCAGCACCAGGGCCTGAGGCTTGGGGGCCCTAGAAAGGCAGGAAATGGGCCAAAGCAAGAAGGAGACAGGGAAGGGGTTCAGGTCTCTAGGGAAGAGCAGAGAGTGGGAGAAGAGGAGGAGGGAGCGGGGGTGCGGGCAGAGATAAAGGGAGCAACGGCTGCAGGGCCGGGAGCACAGCGACAGGCGAGAGGGAGGGAAGCGGAAATTTAAAAGTGAAGATGCAGATAACGCAGCCTGGAGACGGGAACCCGGGTGGGGATAGAGGGAGGGAGGGGGAGGAGAGTGAGCGGCGAGTGGAGCGGGAGCAGACTGGAAGAAGGGCACTAGGGAGGGGGCTGTGGCTGCTGGGGTCCGAGGTGGGGCCAGGTACACCAGCCCCATCACTGTTTGCAGAGATTCAGGGAGGCGGAAAAGACACGCGCTCCCGGCCCCCATCAGGGCGCATGGCCCGGGCCCATCCCCCGCGCGTCTCCCCGGCTGCGGGGTGCGGGGGGCTGCCGGGTGCGCTTGGCTGTGGCGCGGCGCGTTGGAGACTTTATTGCGATGGGACGAT